TAGGGAATCCCCACTACGGGTTCACCAAGCTACTCAGTGCCCCTGAGGCACGCCAGCCTTACCCGTCCCCAGCACCCAATCCCTTCCTTCTCTTCCTCCCTGCTAATCTCCCTTTCTCCTCCTTCTCCCTGATCCTCTCCCCTCCTGCCATCCCATTTCTATTTCTGGCAACATCTTAGGAGAAGAAGACGAGGCTCCAAGCTGCAGTGGGGTGTGAGACAGAGAGGAAAGCCCCCACACTCCCCACTCTCCTGCCGGGATCTAGGATCTGTATTGATGCTCCCACGCCCCCCCAGGCTTGATTCTGGCCCCTGACCTCTCACTCTACCTCTTGTTCTTCCTCCTCTGTCCTGGCTGCTCCCTACCCTATGGGGTCTTGCCGACATACACCCACCCGCCACATCCCCAGCATTCTGGCAGGCCTGGGGCCTCTGTTGAGAATCTCCTGCTACTAGCTTGGCCCTGACCCTCCCAGGCCCACCCTCATCTCCATTCCCGTTCCTCTGATCCCAGCTCTGCCCCCGGGCCAGCTCTAAGGAGCAAGCCATGTCCCTTTCCCACTCCCGCACTCACCGGGCCCCCTCTGAGGCCTCAAACACCTCGTCGTCCACTTCCTCTTCCCCACCTGCCTCATCCTCGTCGTCCTCATTTCCACTGCCCAGGCTGGGACAAGGGCCAAGGCATGGACTGGGACGTGGGGCAGGTGGGCGGGCAGTGCTGTGTGGGCCCTCGGAGCTAGGCTGACTCTCGATGGCCGAGTCAGCCTCCTCCCGCTCAGCCAGCACCTCATCGATGTCCGTCTCGCGGTAGCACCTCAGGGGCACCGTGTCCAGGTCCGTCTCGGAGTACTTGGCTGCTCGCCCCACAGCCACCCCAGAGCCCTGCCCGGAGCCCACCCCAAGTAAAGATGGGGGGGCCTGCTCTGGGGGCTTAGCACCTGCAGTATGCATAGGCATCCTGGTCAAGAGGGTATCCTGGTCAGCTCCCTGTCTAGATTCTGGTCTAGGAAGGAGCTCTTTCCCGCTGCCTCATATTGGCAGGAAGTTCTTTCACTACCTAGCCACCATTCTTCCTGCTACAAACTCAGCTGTTCCTGGTGCCAGTGAAGCTCATTTCAAATCAAGTTCTTGTCAAATAACTTTTAGAGGCCTGAGGGAGAGCAGCTTCTTTCCTACTTCATGGAATGACCCTTGATATCCTGCCATCCCTTCTCTCCACAATCTAGCTTCCTCCAGGGGCCCAACCCAGCCAGGATCCCCAGACCCTCCCTCATAACACAGATGGAAAGTTGGAGGCCTGGAGAGGCATTAGCCAACTCCTGAGCCCAGGAAAGGACTGGGGGGAGGTTTAAAGGAAGTCTCCCTACCACGCCTCTGCTGCTGTGGAGAGGGCCCTGCCCGGTTCCCCTGGTCTTACCCAGGATCTTACCTGAGCCTGGGGGGTCCAGGGAGCCATAGAAGAATTCCCATTTGGCTCGAGCAATTTTCTGGGCATGAGAGGAGACTTCCCGGGGGGAGGACCAGGTGTCTCCCTAAGCCAAGGAGGAAGAGATAGACACGACCACCCGATAATGCCACATGACCAAGACACAAGAACATAGGACAGAAACACAGAAAGAAAAACACACAGGGACACATAAAGAGGTGCCGAGGCACAGGGACAAACATGGAGGGCAAGAAAGAGACTGATTTAGGACAGATGGAAGAATTCACAGTGAACAGCTGATGGGCCCCCAAACTGCCAAGGGGCCAAGCCTTCCTTGCCCCTTTGCTGAGTCCCTGGGGTTCCAGGGAGTCCAAAGGAGGTCACATACCTGGTTCAGGAGTCCAGTGTCAGCAGGTCCTAAGAATAGCTTGGCCAGGTGCTCAGAGGGTCCCCCCAGCCCATTGGGGAGAGAGGAGTAAAGGCCATCTGCCCCAACCTGAGGTTGGGCTGGTGGCCCATGGATAAGGCCCTGGCTGCCAGGCAGAGCTGAGCCTCCTCCGGCAGGGAGTGGGTCTGATGTGGAGGCCTCTAGCCGCAACTTCCGGTTGGAGCCAGGCCCAAGGGCTGGGGTGGGCCTGGGAGGAGAGACCCCACCCAGGTCCCAGCTCCGACTCAAGCCTCCAGGAGCCGGTAGCCCATTTAGTGGCCTCACGCTGGCCTTCTCCACAAAGCGGAATATGACCACAGAGCTCCGCGCCCCTGGAGGGGGCTGCCCAGTGGGTGAAGAGGGTGCCCAGGGTGAGGGAGCAACACGGGGGGAGGGAGGGCCACGCAGGGGTGTACAGGGTGCTGTCACACGTCCCAGTTCCCGGCCCCGGGGACCTGGACCTGCCACCCGCCGTAGCAGGGAGCCCGTGCTGCCATACATGCTGGCTGGGGGGCTTTGTGGCACTGGGCCTTCGGGGAGCCAGCGGCGTGGGCATCGTGGTGGGGAGATGGCACAGTCGCCCTCTGAGCAGAAGCGCATGGCACCCTGGGCCATGCTGGGGCCGGGGGTCAGGCTGGGGGGGCAGGGATGGCGAGGCCAGGCGGGGAGTGAGGGGGCAGCATGCTCTTCGGACAGGCCTGCAAGAGAGGAAGGGGGAGCAGGGGTGAGCTGCAAGGAAGGTGGATTGGCAGGAGAGCAGAGACAGGGAGGGGAAAGTGGGATGAGCCGTCTGAGAACCAGGGGCCTAGCCTGTCCTGGGAATATGGTATTATTGATCCCACCCCTAGAAGTGATCAGGCCTCCTACTTGGGCCACTTCCATGGAGGCCTGAGGAAAAAAGAATTGTATCCCCAGTAGGCCCCTGACTCCTTTCCTTCTGTCTGAGGGCCCTGAGCATCACCCTGGGAGGAGAAAGGAAGCTATTTCAGAAGTTGAGTGAGCTCAGAGTCCCTGTGGCATGTTGGAGGTACTTCTGGTAGAGGAAGGGGAAGGCTGGTACCCCACCCTCTGGACGAGGAGTGTCAGCCAGTCATAACCATCTTACAGCCTTGGGTCCTCACAGTCTCTCTTACAGAGGCCCCTCACTGAGAGAGAACTCAGGCCTCTTAGAAGGGAAGCCAGGAAGTTGCAGGGGGGGGGTGTTATATAGGGACTATGAGGGGCTGAGAGGCATATGGTGAAGGGAAGAACTAAGGCCCCTACTCCTAATACTGAATGGGAAAGGGACATTCTTGTTCTTCATACAGGTACACAGACACACACACACACACACACACACACGGACAAATAATGTCAGTACACACTTAAACATATTCATATTCATAGGCAATACCTCCTGCACACACAGACCCAGGCACACACACATACACACCCAAAGACACACCCTCATACACTCACAGTCATAACAAATATGCGTGTAATGGAAAGGCACATGCTTATTTTACACACATACACACACTGTCATTAAACAAGAACACACAAAGAGACACCCAAATATACACACAGGGCCTCATTCTCCAAAGCACACAGACACAGGCGCATCAGACACTGAGACCTACTAGTCACAATCACACACAAATACAGATGCACCCTCACACACATACTTAAGCAAGAACACACACACTCTCCCCCAACCCCCACCAGTCACCTGTCTCTGGGTGGGAAAGCTGCGCCAGACCCTGTCCCTCCTTCCCTCTTAAGGGAATGACAGATCTTGTCCAGCCCTTAAAGGGGTAAAGGGGCCTCTGGTGGCAATGCAGGGTAGGGGCAGAGGTCAGGAGCAGCAACCCTGACAGGCAGGTTTCTGAAGCTCAGTGTGGGCCCAGGGCATCCCAGTGCAGCTCCGACTGGAGCTGCCTCAGTACTCACCGCTGCTCGCCGGGAGCTGGGGCCGAGGAGAGGCGGGGAAGAGGCTGGACCCAGCTCAGCTGTGAAGGCAGCGCGGCTCCCGCTTGCTCCCGCTTGCTCCAGGCCCGCCTGCCTCTCAGTCCCTCCCCCTCCCCCCTACGCGCGGCTCAGGCAGGGCGCACCCCCCCCCCCCGCCCCCCCCCCCCCCCCCCCCCCGCCCTTTCCCGGAGCCCTGAGCCCCGGAGGCAGGCCCCCCTTCTCGACGCTAGGTCCCCGCTGGGCTCTCCCGCCAACCTGAGACCCGCCCCTGACGAGGGGGAGGATGTATGGAACCCCCGGTTCTGTTCCCAAGACCCTCACGTGCCCCACCCCAATCGTGTCTTGGTCCCTTTCCTCCACCGCCCCCTGAGCCACACGCCAGACCCAGCTGCACTCGCGTGTCCCGCTCCAGACCCCACGCGTGTCCCTAGGAGGTTGCCACATGACCTGTTACATGCCACACGCGCTCCCGCCCCCACGAGCACGCGGCCGCGCCAAGCACACCAGTATGGGTGTAGACCGGACCCGCCCCCTAAATCCAGGAGACCGTCAACTTAAGGAAGAGAGATCTAGGAAACACTGCCTCAAGCCCTAAGGGGTTTTGCGTTTCGGACCCAGGAGACCCAACCCTGACCACTCGCCCAGGATGCAGCAGGAGGGATGTTAGTCAGACTTTAGAAAGAACTTCCTTGCTGCCTGAGTTAGGTGTCCTGCCTATCTGAGGGTAAAAGGTTAGACCGGATGATGCTGGGAGTGGAGGAAGTGGGGAGCAGGCAACCCTTGTGCCCTTGGCCAAGGTAGAAGGGGGCCCAGCTATTTTAGGAAAGCACTGCCAGAGTTACTATGGCAACTGCTCTCCTTGGGAACGCCAGGGCATGCAGGTGGTGACCTCGGAAGGAAGAAGGGGTCTGTCCGGGCAGTCAAGGGGCGCGAGGACGTGCGCGACGGGGGCGCGCGGGGCTCACCGCTGGGAGGGGCGGCGCGGGCTCCGCGTGGTGCTGAAAGGGACAGCGCCAGATTTGTCGCACTGCGCAGGCGCAGAGGCGCGAACAAAGCAGGGAGGAGGAAGAGGCGCGCGTCCCGAGGTGGTGCGCGCCTACAAGGCTCAACCTTAGCGGAGGTCGGTCCTCCCATCTACCCCCTCCCTAAGCAGACTAAGGAAAAGGAAGCAAGTCCCTCACCCAAGTTAACCCTCTTTGGTCCTTCCCCGCTGCTGGCTTCTCCCTTCTTGCTGCATTGGGGGGTGGGAGAGGGTTGAAGGGATTCTGGGAAAACTAGGATGCCTGAATTCCCCATCGCGACTTGCTTGACCCGGGACAAGGCGCGTCCCCTCCAGGGCCTCGGTTCCATCTTTAAAATGGAGTAACAGCACAGAGCTGCTCACCTTGCAGAAGTGCCCGAAGCCCTGATGAAATAATGGATGGGAAGCAGTTTTCGTTATGAAGAGGGAGATGAAGCGGCTGCACGAAGGGAGAGCACAGCCTTGCTAGGAGGCAGCTCTCGGCGACAGCAGTAGCCCTCAGCGTCCTTCACACCCTCCCCACCAATGGATGATGGGGAAAGCACTGCTCCTGCTCCGGGGGTTCCCCGGAGGGGACCCTGGAACCAGGAACTGCGGACGGGGTGAGACGGCGGCCCAAAGTCTGAGCCTAAAGTTCTGGGACATCACTGCCCCAGGGCGGGTCGAGCCCCAAACCCTACCACTAAATCTCCAGGTCAACCGAGAAGGGGTACTCCTGGTGGGCTGAGCTGAGCACTCATTCTTCTCAGGACTCTAGACCTCCTGGGGAAAAGATAGGGACCCAGCTGGAGAGATAATCCTTCTTAGCGCCCCCTATGTCTCTCCCCTGGAGGTGCAAATCCATTCCAAATCTTCCGGGAGTGGAAGGGGCTGGACAGCTCTGTACTACTTAACTAACCAGGAATGAGAGGTTTGGGCAAGCTTGCTTGATGAAGGAAGAAAAAATCTACCTTCGCCCATTCGATTCATTCAACAATTACCGGGCACCAACTATGTGCCAGACAGTAAAAGCCTGGATAGTTTCTCCCCATTTTTCAAAGTCGCTAAACACGACCAGAGGGCAAAGAGTAGGCCCAGAACCTTGGAGTCTTGGCTCCGCCCCATCTGCGTTTGGCTTTGCCCGCTCCTCCCATCATCACTTCACTCAGAGGCGGCCACTGGCCCAAGACGAAAAAAGACCCAGTCTCTGCTGCACCATCGCATTCTCTAGCTTCAGTTCTCAAGCCCTGTAGCCCAGCGAGGTCTGATGTAACACCTCCGGTCTGTTTCGCTCTCAGTTTCGAGATCCATCCGGAACGCTTTTAGATAGGATCCTCAGTGAGATCGCACTCGATTGAATCGGTCTGCCTCTACAGCCCAAGGAGGCGGGTTCGCCGAGGCCGCTCCAAGGCCAAAGCGAGAAGACCTTACTGCGCACGCGCAATAGGCAGCCGATGGAGCCACCGATGGAGCCGTCCGGAGGGGAGCAAGAGCCCGGAGCCGTCAGGTACCGAGCACCGGAGGGGCCGGGAAAGGGAAGAAGGACCTGGGGGAGAGGAGCTGAACTGGGCCGGGTCTGGGGGCCGCTCTTAGGAGCCGGGGCGCAGAAGCATAACAGAGGCGGACTCGCTGGTGACTGCGGCTGGGGGACGCCACCGCCAACGCCCCTTTACCCGCAGGCTCCTGGACCTGCCTTGGGAAGACGTGCTGCTCCCACACGTCCTGAGCCGGGTGCCGCTACGCCAGCTGCTCCGGTTGCAGCGCGTCAGCCGGGCCTTCCGGGCGCTAGTGCAACTGCACCTGGCGGGGCTGCGCCGCTTCGACGCCGCTCAGGTGAGAGCCGGAGGCCAAAGCCCCGCCCCGTCTGGGTACCGCCCCCGCCCCGCCTCCAGCCCAGCCCCCAGCCTGTCTGTCTACCCCTGCGGACCCTCCGGGTCCTCCAAGAGTGCCCGGGAAGCGATCCACGCCGCGGGAAGTACTCTTAAAGGGCGAGGGCCGGGTGTCATCTCAGAAGGCGCTTGGGGTCTCTCCTGGGAGGGCGGGTGGCAAACCCCGAGGGCGGGTTGCTGACGGGAAAGAACTCTTCAGGGGCGGGAGGCAGCGTCCGTCCCGCCCCCGGGACCCGCTGAGAGTCGAGGTGCCTCCCTGCCTGCAGGTGGGTCCGCAGATTCCGCGGGCCGCCTTGGCCTGGCTGCTGCGGGACGCTGAGGGGCTGCAGGAGCTGGCGCTGGCGTCGTGTCACGAATGGCTGTCGGACGAGGATCTGGTGCCTGTCCTGACGCGGAATCCGCAGCTGCGGAGCGTGGCGCTGGCCGGCTGCGGGCAACTGAGCCGCCGCGCGCTGGGGGCGCTGGCGGAGGGCTGCCCCCGCCTGCAGCGCCTTTCGCTCGCGCACTGTGACTGGGTAGATGGCCTGGCGCTGCGCGGCCTCGCCGACCGCTGTCCGGCCCTTGAGGAGCTGGACCTCACCGCCTGCCGTCAGCTCAAGGATGAGGCCATCGTATACCTGGCGCAGAGGCGCGGCGCGGGCCTCCGCAGCCTCTCGCTGGCAGTCAACGCCAATGTGGGGGACGCCGCGGTCCAAGAGTTGGCCCGGAACTGCCCGGAACTCGAGCACCTCGACCTAACCGGCTGCCTCCGCGTCGGAAGCGACGGCGTCAGGTGCCTGGGCATGGGATCGGTGGGTTGGGAAGAGGTCAGTCACTCACTTAGCCTCGGGTTAGGGGCGGGCTGTAGCTGTCGCAAGGCAGAACTGTGGTGCTATTTTTCTGCTACCACGGCACCCCCATTCAGACCAGGAAAGGCTTCTAGGATTGCCTAGACCATAGAGCCCATAGTTGAAAAAAAAAACAAAAACACTTTTTTGAACCAGTATTTACACGTTGGCAGATTGCACATAGTCAGGTTTCTGACTTTTCTTCAACTAGGGAAAACCTTGAGATCCTGGGCGGAGCCAAGGAGCAGTTTCCCCCTTTAAGAGACAGGAGGAAGTCTCGGGTTCCCTGGAGACTTTGAATGTATGACCCCACCCAGGCTCCCCTCCCTCGTTTATGGAGGGGGAAGAGTATGCTTTGAGTTTGAGGGAGACAGGGGCTTTGCTGGCTCCCCCACCGTGGGCGCAGCGGCTTCTGGCCCCCAGCCTCACCCGGCTCCTTCCCCAGGACGCTGGCCGAGTACTGCCCCGCGCTGCGCTCGCTGCGGGTGCGGCACTGCCACCATGTGGCCGAGCCCAGCCTGAGCCGCTTGCGGAAGCGCGGCGTGGACATCGACGTGGAGCCACCGCTGCATCAGGCGCTGGTGCTGCTGCAGGACATGGCAGGCTTTGCACCCTTTGTTAACCTGCAGGTCTGACCTGTCTGCCGACGGGGCACAGCTGGACTGTGTGGCGGGGCCTGACTATGAACTGTAGGGAAACTGAACTGTGGGGGCCTCTGGTTAGAGGCGGATGCCCTGCCCCACTCTGGAGCTTCAAATAAAGAGATTTTTACCCCCACTTGCCTGACGCTGCTGCCCTGTTGGAGATAAGGGATATGAAGTTGGGAGAGAGGTCAGAGAGACACAGTACCCCATCATCCCAATGCTGAGCAGAAATGACCAGAATGCACTCACACCTTCCTGGGGCCACCTTTACTGTGCCCTTGGGCAGCTCCAAGAGGAGGTCAACAGTGTGGGGCAAGGAAGTAGAGAGCAGGGTGGAGAAGGGGGACAGGAGTTAGGGCGGGCCCTGTGGGAGGGTGTAGGGCTCCTGCATCCCTCTGGGATCTGAGCCTAGAAGGCTCTGGCAGAGTCTGGCGAATGCCTCAGTGGAAGCGGTACTTTCTGGCGGGCTTGAGGTTGATGTATGTGGCCTTCATCTCCTCGGCCTCAGGGTTCCGCACGTCTTTGAACCGCTCCCCCTTGGTACTTACTACCTGGTTGTCAATGTAGCGGATCAGCTTCTTGGGGGCCTGTCAGGCAACTGGGCGGTGAGCAGCAGAAGCCAGGAGATGGTCCCCCCCACTCCACACCTCTAGCAGCCATAGCCCTCTCACCTCCCTGGGAGCCATGGGCCGGTGAATCTTCTGATCCTCTGCGCTATCCACCATCATGTACCTGCCAAAAACTGGCTGGCTGAAGCTCCTGCCACCCCGGAAAGACCTTCTAAGGGTCTAGCCCAGCCCAGCCCAGACTCACTTCTGCAGGATGAAGGACTTCAGTTCATCCTTTTGGGGGCCTCTGAGGCGCCTGGGCAGGTCCTGCAGAGAAGAGAAGCCCAATCTAAAGCCTAGGGCACCAGCAGATGCAGACAGGGATAGGCTAGGGGCGGGGGCTTAACAGTACGGCACCGTGGGGCTGAGGCTATTTGGGTGGAGGGGGATGTCTAGCAGAGGATACCTGGTTGGGGCCGTCCCAGGCTGGAGGCCCCTCCTCCTTCCCCTCTACAAGCATCTGCACAGCTTCTTCCAAGTCTCCCCGAGCTTTGGCCAGCACCCACTGGGCCTGCTCCACTGAACAGGTAGGGAACACCTCCAGGAGGACATCCACCCCTGGCAGCAGCTCCTCCTCAGCACCAGCTGCCTGCGGGCAGAGGTGTTGACAAGAAGCAGTACTTCCTTCTTTCCTGGCCCCTAATTCTCTCCCAGTACCCTCCTCTACCAGTACCTCATCCTGGGTGTCTCCAGAAGCTGTAGGAGAAGCCCTAGTCTCTTCTTTGAGCTTTTCAGGCCGCTGCAGGGGCTCTGGGGAGACAGGCATCTGACCTTGGACCTCAGAGCTCTGTGGCTGCAGGTTCTCTTAAGGAAGCAGAGAGAGCATCGGGTTTGTCAGGATTTGGGGGGATGGGGGTTATGAGTCATCCCAGGCCCCAAACTCACCTTTGTTCCTGGCACCACTTAACTGCCCTGAGAGCTTTTGCATCATGTCCCCTATTGTCCCCCTGAAAAGACAAGGAGGTGGTAAGAGGACGACTCTGCCCACCCTCCACTGTCTGCCAGCCCTCCGCTCCCTCTTTGCCCCAGCCAGATCCCACCTTGGAATGTGGGCAAAGCCAGGCACATAGGCCTCCATCATCTCAGTGAAGGCTTCCATATCGAAGTTCTCCTCTGATGGCCCGGAGGGACCCAGATCCTCCAGGACCCCAAGCACATAGGAGAAGATGACTTCATCCAAGCCACTGCAGGAAGGGGACAGGACAAGCCCTGAGTAGGACACTGGGTACTTCCAGCAACACCCTCTCCCCCTCAGCCTGAGACTCGAGCCCTCGGCTTCACTGTGTCCATGAACCAGACTTCAAGCCTTGAAGCCAGAAAGTATCCCACCCTCCCACAGAGCTTCGATTTCCCATCTGTCCAGCAAGGTGACAGGAACAGGTTAAGATTAAGGCCATACCAGCAGATCATAATCAGCTCTCCCCCACCTCAGGATTAGAGCAGAGGGCTTCCCACCCCAGTCTTTCCATGGGCCAGGGCCTAGAGTCCTGCCCAGCAACTCCAACCCTGACCCTGGCATGATCCTTCTAGGAGAGCTGCTGCTACCTGAGGTCAGCCTCTGGGAGGTGCGTCTGGACAAAGGCAAGGAGGGCTGCACTGACAATCCTCTCCAGCTCCATGCTCTCTCCTCTTCTGCAGGGACAGAAGATGTAGGTTTGTCAGGCCCTCTTCTGCCTGCCCCTACCCAGTAGGCCCAGGCGCGGCCAGCCCCTCCCTCCTGCCCTGCTGTGGAAACCATTTGTTGATGCTGTCCACAGCTTCCAGCTCTGCAGCCCTCCCCTGCTCCCTCAAGCAGAGCTGCAGGCCCCTCCCTGCCCATCCCTCCACCTCCTTCACCCCTGTCTCAGGAGAAGGCCTCCACAGTGGTTCCCTCGCCCTTCCCCCGGCCTCTCCCCATCTCTCTACCCCATTCCCCAGCAGCAGGCCCAGACCCTTTGGCAAGAAGCCAAGGTCTTGGGGTCACATGCCTCTTGGCTGAGGAATCCCATCATAGAGAGGGCCACTTGGCCCTCAAGTCCAACCACAAGGGGCCCATTGTCTGGCCCCCGCAAGGAGCAGGCCTCAGGACCAAGCACAGCCTTCCCCCAGCTAGAATGGGCCACCCACCCACTGCACAAAGGGGCTTTTCTGGCTCTGGGGCTCTGATGGAAGGGGAAGTCTTTCAGAATTCTCTTTTCCTGCCCAATCCAGCAGCTTGGGGTTATCTACACAGGACTTTCCATCCGCCATTCCAAAGCCTATGGAGCCCTCCAAGATCTGGCCTTTGCCGGGCTTTCCAACCTCATCACTCACTCTACTCCTGCCTCACCAGCCTCCTTGCTGGTCCTCAAACTTCCCCAGCTTCTTCCTTCCTATCTCCCCTATATATCTACATGGTTCATCCCCTCATCTCTGGAGCTCTGCTCAAATGTTACCTTCTGAGAGAGACCTTCCCTGACTAACCTACCAAAAATAGGGAGTATTCCTGCTACTCCCTAGTCCCTTACCCTGCTTCATTTCCTATACAGCATCTACTACAGCTTAATGTTATCTTATGTTTATTTGCCTATTGTCTGACCTCCCTCATAGACTGTAAGCTTCAAGGTGCAGGGGTCTTTGTCTTATTCACTGGTGTAACCCTAGCACTTAGACAATTGCTTGTACTTAGTAAATGTTCAATAAATACTCATTGACTTATTTCATTCCCATCTACATGCTTTTGACTCCCAACAGTCCATATGTGGGAGTCGGGAACACATGGATGGTAATGAATGGCTCCACAGGCCCAAATGTCAGCTCGTCTTCCCACTCAGAAGACTCAGAGGTATCTCAGATTACACCTACCCCACACTCACAATATTTCATGATCGGTGTAAACTGCCCCCCCACCCATTTCACTGGCTGAACCAACCATTTACTCACTCAGCTGCCAAACCTGAGACTTGGTAATTACTCTTGATTTCACCCTCTCTCAACCCGATCTGCTGCACTCAGCCAGTCTAATCATGTCGATTCCATTTCCTTATTAGTCTCCTTTCTATCCACTCTCCCCAGCTCATCTGGCTTCTGCTCCAACATCTCTACCAGAATTGCTCAGTCCAAGGTCATGAGTTACTTTTTCAGGTTTTGGTCTAATTAGGTTGAACCATTTAAGCTTGCCGATACTGCCTATTTTGGATCTATAGGAAGGAAGGGAGGGAAGGTGGGAGGGAGAGAAAGAAGGAAAGAAGGAAAAGAAAAGGCTATTTTTTCTGGTTGCACCTGATATTTGCCCTTTCAAGAAGCATCGATGTTGGTTTCTGACGCATCACATTCTCCTTCTCCAGCCATTCCTTCCCAGGCTCCTTTCTCTGTTCCCCTCACTTCTGCTGGCAGCAAAGCTCAGGCTCACAGCCGCTCCTCCTCTCTCCTTGCTCTGCACCTCCCCCCAAGACCTTGTGTGGTCCCACATCTTTATGAACCAACTCTATATCACCAATCCCCAAATGCCAGTCCTCGAGCCCAGTCCCCTCCATGTAGCTACACATTTGCACACCTCCCTCTCGGACACCTCCACGTGGGTGACTTAACATGTCCCAAACTGACAGTCTCCCAAATCCTTTGCTCCTCCAAGGCTGTCATCAGTAAATGCACATTCACGTACCCAGCTGCTCTTGCCGCAAGTCTGGGAATTATCCTGACACCATCTTACCCACATCCAGTCACCAAGCACTGACCATCACCTCTCATACCTCTCAATACATATGCTTCTCTCCATCTCTCCTCCCATTTCATCCACCTCTTGCCTTCACTGCCAGAGCCTCCTAACCCCTCCTCCTACCACTGTATTGTCCCCCAAATCTATTCTTTACAAAGATCGCAGTTGCGTGACCTGTACAAAAATCCTATTTTTCATGCTACAAATCTATCAGTGAAGTCCCCCTTCCCTTCTGATTAGCCCAGATTCTTTTGGTGGCCATTAGTTGAGGGCCTTACCCCTGCATACATCTCTCCAGCCCCCCCCATGTACCACACCCTCCCTGGATCACTCCCCTCCACCCTGGCTTTCTTCCAGTTTGCCAACCTTGAAGCTCTCTCGTGCCAAGAGCCTTTGCACAAACTGTTTCCTCTGCTTGGACAGCTTTCCACCTCCACCCCTTCGTTTGTCTAACACCTTCTCACCTGTCGGGTCTCAGTTTACAATCTTCTTCCTCAAGGGATGCTGCCCCTGACCCCTGAGAACTGCTTTGGTCCCCTCCGTCTTACACCCTCATTGAGGACTGCACTTTCCCGTATTTCACAGTATCTTTCGCAGCTATAATTAAAAATAATTATTTGGGGAATGTTTAAGGTTTCTTCCAATTGTCTCATGAGGGCAGGGACTATACTCCTGGATACTCATGAGTGTACACTTGGTATCCTATGGAGTGGGACACTCAATAAAGAATTCCTCCCTGCCTTACAAATGAAGGAACTGAAGCTCAGTGAGTTTAATGATTTGCCCAACTCACTTGGCTGAACTGTGGTAAAGATTTAAATCTAGGTCGCCTCGCTCATGTATATTCCAGGCGATGGGGGGAATCTCAAGACTTCCAAGAGGGGTGAGACAGAACTACGATCTATGCTCACAGTTCCCTGGTCCCCTGAGTGGTAACAGAGTGTTGCTGTGACAGCACAGGAGTCACTTTGGACAGCAAGACTGCGAAGCTCTCGCCTACTAGGGGTAAATGCCTGCCTCTTGCTCCAGATTCTAGCATGGGCCCTGGACAGAAGAACAGCTCACACCACACATGCCAGATACCATTATGCAGTTCCCCCCAAAGGTCAGCCGCCTAAGAGACCTACTACACCCACCCTGGATTACATCAAATCCTGGCTGCTGTCAGTTGCCTGGCAACCTCTGCTGGGATGAGGGCTGCAGTGAGAAAGTCTAGTTTCTAGGGAAGAAGTGCTCAGGGATGTGTCTGATGCCCCTGGGTTTCTAATCAAGATCTGAGGGCCAGGAGGTTGTTACTGGGAAACTCCTCACTATGCCCCCAAAGAATATCTTCCTTCCCTAGGCTTTTGCTCTAGCTTGTCTTCTAAAGCAACACACTCTCTTCTCCTGTTCTGGGGCTGACCAAACTTTACCCAGCCTTTAAAGCTTGCCACTTCTTTCTTTCACCCTTCTCCATCCTTCAAGCCTTCCTCAGCATTGCTTTCCTGCCCACAGGCCGCTTCTAATATTTCTCCTCCACAGTCCCCGAGCTAGGGAAGCTGTAGCCTAAGCAGCCAGCCTTCTGCAGGGTAAGAACATGAGTTTCATGAGAATTTTCAAATTCTGGATGTAGTCCACAGAATTCCATTACTTCCTTGGGGCTCCAAATCAGGGCTCCCTGGTTGGTAGCGTCCATGAAATGTGACTGTCATCCTGTCGTAAGTCCTGTTTAAATACCTCTGCTGATGGTAATAATAATTCTATGCACTTTACATGTATGAACTTCCCTAATCCTCACAATAACTCTAAAATATAGATACTAATATTATTATACTATTCCATTTTGCCCAAAAGGAAATGGAGACACTGAGAGGTTAAGTAACTTGTCCAAGGTCACACAGTAAGTTATTGGCACATTTACATCCAAGCAGTCTGGCTCCAGAACCCTGTTAACCACTATGCTACACTACCTCATAAAGTAAATGATGTTCTGATCCTCCTGTCCTGCCTGGTTGGCCCTCCTCCCTACCTCAGAATCTTTGCTTACACGGGTCTCCCCACTCAGAACGTCTTTTCCTCTGCCTCTTATTCTGCAGGACTCGCTTTCTCCCCATAGCGAGCCCTGAGTGCCCCATCCTCACTGCTCCCAGATGGCCTGAGAGCGTACCCAGGACCAGGCACAAGCCTGGACTCTCCAGATGCTCAATACAGATTCCCCAGGACAAATTTAAGTGAGACTGGGGAAAGGCGCACCACGCTGTTCCCTTGGGGTGGGGAGGTGCTTAAGGCAGAAAGAAAGCAGAAGGCCATGTGGGAGGAGTCCTGGGAAGCAGTGTGGGCACTCTGAGGGTCTAGCACGGAGGTCTTCACTGGTTTCTCAGCCACTATGAACCCCAGCTCCCGGGGCCCTAGTCCCATAATGCAGGTTCCAGAGGACATCGTTGTCCCCTGACCCCCAAGTCAAGTCTTAGAGGCGCCAAGGACACTGAGGGCTACAAAGGATTCCGGCACCCAAAGTCAGACCGGGGCACGAAAGGGGATAGTGGGGTGCACAGGAAGTGGGACCGCGATGATGGTCCACCCCTGAAGCAGGAGCTCCCTAAACAAGCTAGCGGAATACCCAACAGGGTCTGGAATAGTGGACCCGAGGGCACCGGGACGCGGTTGCAGCCCTGGGGACACAAGACTAGGGAGGCCTGAGTAAGCTGGGATGTGCCTTGATACAGGCCACGGCGAAAATCAGAGATGGGGGGCCGATGGGCCCCAGAGAGTACCGTGGGGGAACACACAGGACGGGTACCCTGGGTCAGCGTTCTCCGCGACTCTCCTAGCCCTGGGCCGGGGGCCGGAGGGGAAATCACCTGCTCCGTCGGGCGCCGCCGGCGACTTGTCCCGCGCGGTGCAGCTCTCATCCCCCAGCCCCACCAACGAGATCAAAGGCGAGGCCCAGAGCGGTTCCTTTTCAGAAGCGCCGCGGTAGCCATTTTTGTGAAGGGCATTGCCCACAACCGGGCGGGGCTTCTGCGCCCACGCTCATTTGTCTCAGGGTTTTGGACAGGCTCTCGCGGCGGCCATTTTTGTTGCGGGTTGGGAGGAATTACGCGTGGAGGTCGCGCCAGTGGGTGGAGTATTATTAACTGCTGACTGCATCCCTGCCTAGTTTCTTGTCAGCTGGGAAACACCGAGAACCGTTCGACCCCACCCAGTGTCTTCTCGTCTGCCTTCCTTGCCCCAAAATCTCCGCCTTCAAATCCTATAGCTTCCTCCCCTCTCCTTATCTCTGCCGTCTTTCCAGACTTGGATCCCTAATTGGATCTGGTGGCCCCTACGTCCAGAACCTGGTGTTCTTCCCAAATCCCTGTGTTATTCCCCTTCCTGTCCAGTGTAGGTTCAAGGTCCGTCACCCAGTCAACTCTTAGGTGATGACTTCCTTTCCCACCATATCTGTCCCCTTTGCCTTCCCTTAACAGCGAAGTCTCCCCCAAGATTAGGGTGTTTACAGGGTTTGGGTCTTGGGATCGTGGAGCCTGGTTTGGATGGAGGTAGCAGGGAGTGGGTGTTCTGGGTGAGTATCAGCCTGAGCCCAGATCCAGGACAGTCTAGAGGCCATGCCAACTCTCAGGGCCTTCATGCCCATGTTGGCAGACATATTGGCACGTCTCATATAGGCTGGAACAACTGAACTCCAAGACCTAGCAAGGCCTTACCTTCTTTCTGTTCCTGCTGCCTCAGCTCCCCGGTGCTACCCTGTGGCGGAACCCACAGCCATCCCTTCCCAGGAATCCCGCCAGGGGTCATGAAGGAAAGAGTTCCCTTCAAGGGTGAGCTAGCCCATCCCCAGCCAGCAGGGGTGAGCCCCTTCAGGGCTAGTTCCCTCATAAGGTACTGTGTACTCAGAAACTGTCACTGCCCTCAGGAGCTCATGGTCCAAGGTAGAAAGTTCCATCCTCTCCTCTCCCCTAAGAACTGCTCCCTGTCAAGCTCTGTCCCTTGCTGCAGGCTCCCAGCTACCCACACCAGCGTCCTCTGGCCTCAAAGAATGAGATGTTCACTGCTGGGGAGTCAGGGCAGGAAAGGGGAGGGAGAAATGAGGGAGCACTTTGGCGTCGCGTCTCCCATAAAAACACTGCCGCTGCCAGCCTGGCGCTGCTAGGGTTAATGAGAGGTGGGGTGACAGCCACTTTGAACTCTGGCTAGGCTGGCCCCTGGGAAGGGGGGTGATGGGTAGCTCCATCAGCCCCAGGCCTCTGCCAGTTCTTTAAAGACTTGGCTGTCCCTCCCTTTCCCCAGCCCCATCCCCGCCTTCATTGCACAATGCTGATGACTCTTCTCTCCCTACCACCCTCATTACAGGAACTTTCAGGTTTTTTCTGTCCCTACGTCTGGCCTGACATCCCTGCAGCCATCCCTGTGCCTTTCTCTCCTCCCTTCTGGCCTGTTCCTGGGCTGGCAGATGGATGTAGGTAGATACCATCAGAAAGAAATTCCTGAGCTTTGGGAGAAGGATCATGGGAAGACCTCTTAGGGGGAGTCCCTTGATTCCCAGCTCAAATCCTGAAGGGTCCCTACTCTGTGCAGCAGGGAATTGGTTCTGGGGTCAGAGGACAGTGGGCTGAGGAAAGGGACTGCCACAGGCACAAGGACACACAAACTGTAAGATAGGAGCTCTGGGGAACACTTGTCCTGCTTGGCATTCCATAGCTGGCCTGATCTTAAGCCCCTGATTCTTTGTCCCCTCAGGTCTCAGTCTCTCCACCCGCAAGATGGGACCAGATTCCACCTGCCCTTCAGGCCCTGCTGGAAGCCACATAGGGAGAAAAAAGTGACGTGGTGACTGCTCTCTTCCCATTCCCTCAGGTGACTTTTGCCTCCTGGTTGTCCTCAGCTGAAGGGAAAAGCTAGAAGCCTATGCCGAATCTTCCCCTAGCACATCAATTCCCCATCATCCAACCTCAGAATGAGGAATTGGGTTTGAAATTAGGCATAAAGGGCAGATTGCCCAGACATTAAGAGCAGAGATAAAGCCCATCTGGCTGGTCTCAAGGGGTGGGAGGGACTCAGTCAGAGACTGAGGTGAGGAAGGGGACACTTCAAAAGGATGGGGAGGAAGGAGGGGGTCCCCGCTCTTGCTTGAGGTCAGAAAGGGCTCTCTGGGCAAGGTGCCCAGTCCTCCCACACCTTCCTCCTTTCTCAGAAGAGCCAGGATGGGGCGGGGGTGGGAGTTGGCTGGAGCAGGGAGGGGGCCCTATTTAAGGAGCATTCTCAGCATCCCTGCAGATCCAGCCCCAGGAGCAAGAGAGGAGGCTTCATGGGTATGTGTGGGCCCTTGGTCACAACCCAAGCAGGGTGGGGGTGGAGTGGCTCCTGGGCTTGCAGGCTTGCCTTTCCCTCTCCAGGGATAGGCTGTGGCTCTGCCTGGAGATGGGGAATAGCCCCCATTGCCCTGTTTAACTCTCCAGAAGTGAAAGCGTGTTTCAGGGAAAGATTTCTCTTTCACGCCCCTACCTATCCCACGTAGCTCAGATCTTCATTTTCGGTGGGGAGATTTTCAGGGAGCTGGAACTTTGGGACTCCTATTTTGGGGATCCATATTTTAGGGTTCCCCTCTGGTTCAGGAAGCCTCCCAGTCTCCAGAGAGATGCCCTTCTCCATGCAGATATTCTGGCTCTTCCCTCGCCCCGACTTCTCCTGGAGTACCTCTCAACATCTGGCCCCACCAGGAGCACATCTGGGCAAGAAATGATTCCACAGTACTCATAGAATCCCTGCCATGGCCCCAAGCCCCCTCCCCTCATATCCTGCATCCCTCCTGTTGGAATTCAGAGAACTCTTGTCCCTTTCCCTGGGTATGGGCCCTATTTTTCCGCTCTAAGCTCGGACTTTCTCTGGGATAGGAGGAATCTTGAGATCCCAGGTTCCTTATCCATGGTGGGAATTGGAGGAATTCACAGAAGAGAGCACAGGAGGGCACAATCAAGGCTGGGAGAATGTTGGCCACCTGGCTCTGAGAACTGAATTCCATAGGCTGTGAGCTTGAGCAAACGGCCTAGGGACTCAGTTCTGGTGCCCGGCTGTGCTGTACCATCAACAGAGAGGTCATGGGGAAGCTGCTGGCTCAGGCTTCCAGCATCCCAGCCAGGCACTCCTCCAGGCACTGGCTACATCTTTTAACAACTTCAACTTGGACAACACTTCTGCTCAAAGACCTCAAGAGCTTCTCCAAACTCCTTACTTTGTAATTAAAGTCTTTCACAGTATGGCCTCCACTTCGCTTTCAAGCCTGAGATTCCTTTCTCCCTGGTTATAACCTGCCCTCTAATGAACCACATTGCTCCCTGGTCCTGCTGCCATACCTTTACTCATGCTGAGACCTCCTCAGTTCTTCCTGGGACACCTCCTTCCCATCACTATCTGCTGGGACCCTATACATCCTTCAAAGTCTCTCTCAGATACCTCTTCGAGGAAGCCTCCCTCAGCTTCCCAGCAGAGCAGATGATCTCCTGCAAATCCTCCATATTTCTCTCTAGAGGGGCTCATTCATGAACCCCATAGTGTCTAGTCAAGTGAACATAGCTGTTCAGTAAATGTTCCTTGCATTTTGCTGAGTGTGTCTAATATAGAAGAGGCAGTTTGGCCTAGAAGTTAAGGTACAGCTAGATTTCCCAGGTGCATTCTCCATTGTGTGAACTTAGGTAAGTTGTTTACCCGTATAGGTCTCAGTTTCCTCATCTGTAGGTAAAAAAAAAATAATTACACAGATATCGAAGTTTTGTGAGGCTTAAATAAGTTGATAGTTTCTTCTGTTCAGGGCTTCTTTTTTTTCTTAAGATTTTATTTTTATTTTATTTATTTGACAGAGAGAGAGAGAGAGATCACAAGTAGGCAGAGAGGCAGGCAGAAAGAGGAGGAAGCAGGCTCCCTGCTGAGCAGAGAGCCCGATGCGGGGCTCGATCCCAGGACCCTGAGATCATGACCTGAGCCGAAGGCAGCGGCTTAACCCACTGAGCCACCCAGGCGCCCCTGTTCAGGGCTTCTGATAGTAAGTTCTCAGTTAAGTGTGTGAGTTTATTATGATTCTTATTATATTCCCTTAAATAGAATGTGAACTACCCCATTGCAAGGAGGGGGGGTAGGATAAGGCTTAAAATTAGTCACAACCCAAGTTTACTGAGTGAAGGGCTCCAGATGCCGGAGGCAGGTAGGGCTGGGGCAAGACCAGGAGGAAGCCACCAGGACCAGAGTTTGGTGGCCCAAGCCTGCTGAGATCAGGAGTTGTGGATTCCCACCAACTGTATAACCTTGGGTGAGTCACTCCTTCTCTCTTGGATTCCCAGCATAATGTAAATTGAGGGGACTGAACCAAGTGAACAGCAAAGTCCCTGGCAACCGAGATGTTTTATGAGTTCTAAGCTTCTAAGGGTTAAGTTCAAATAAAAGATCAGAGAAGGAGGCATCTAGGCTCCCTGCAGGGCTCCCTTATGTCCACAGGGCCTGGAGAAAGCACTGGGCTTTGGAAGGATGCATGGCAGCATGCTGGACTGAAAGGAGTGGCCACTCTTCCTTCAGAAAGCCTGTGAACAGGGGCCCTCTTCCCTCACTGGGCCTGTGGGTAAACTGGTGTGCAGGCTACGGGCATTTCTAGGGCATAAGCAGAAGGCTTGGGGAGAAATGTCCATGAGCAATGCAGATTCTCAGCGATAGAGGAAGTTAAGAGACTTCAAGCTCTGAACCCGAGAGGATAGAGAAGAAAGGAGTTACAGAACACACCTTATGTGATGTGAGACTCAGTATTTAGTTGAAACCTGCCTTGTTTCAAAAAAGGATTTGAGACTTACTGGCATGCAGACAATTCTCCAAGATTAAAATGTAACACATAGACATAGCTCTGTAGCACATTTACTACTTTTTGACCCAGAGATTCAACTTGCTTATTACTGTTTTT